TGCATTTTGGGAGCAGACTTCTTGTCCTCCTGTTGGTAACATTAATTATCAACTTTCCAAGAACTATTTCTCTAAATGTATAGCTGTTAACTCTCCCTAAAGGACAGTCCTCTTCAGATCAAAAGAACCAGATGGTACTACCAGTTCTACATCAAATAAAAATATAGTAAACAGTAAAAAATATATATGTATATATATGTATATATGTATTATATATATTTATATAATATATATATATATATATATGAAACGTTAAGATTCTAATGAAGTAAAATGTTTTACTGAGGACTAAAGGAGGCCTATATCTAATTTTAAAACTCTAAAGCATAAAGCCTCTACATTCAGCTCATTTGATGTCCCGACCCAATTTGTGTAGCTGATACCAGATGTTTCTGAAGGACATTTTATACCTGGGAAGGGAGAGAAGACAAGCCAGTCAGTCAGTCATAGCAGAATTCCAGTTGCAAACTGGTGACAAGCAAATAGCAAGCAAAGAGCCTCGGACTCTCTTTTTCCAGCTCTTCCCTCAGGTCAAAGGGATCTGAATTTTATACCTGGGAATTGGGATGAGACAAGCCACAATCAGTCACGACACAAATGCAGTTGCAATCTGGCTTTTAGGCAACCAACACGCACATGGCAGATAGCTCAGGACCCTCTCTTTCAGGCTCATACACTTCATTTATACATTAAGTTTAATAATACAAAGGTACATAGTTATATGAAAACTAAAGTAAACAGCCATGGCTGACATTATTTACCATGAATATCCCCATTCCCTAACCCTACTAGCTTGTAAGCACCATGATGGCAGAGACCACTTGGTATTTAAAATTTTAGTTTTTCTTAGTGCTTATACTTATATTTAGCCTATACTTACTGTTTACTCAATAAATGATGCTGAATTGAGATATTGATTTCAGTATTTTATCAGTTTTTCCAGAAATTCTGGGTATTCTAATCTATAGAGAGTTTAATACGATAGCTGCAAAATAAAAGAGTTGCCACATAGTTAGAAACGGCATGAACAGCCTGGACACAATTTCTGTTTGGTGTCCGGGAACACATGTACAAATGTGGTTTCTATTTTACCACCTCTGCCTTTTCCAAATTTTTCCATTATTAGGGTGAATAGGTACCAGTGGATGTTTGGCCAGCCACTCCTATTACTCCTCATCCAACTGCATGCTTCATTTTAAGTCAACTATTTGAAATAGAAAGAAATAGAAAGAGAGTAGAAAGAAATAGAAAGAGAACCCTCTCTCATGCATACCTATGTATCACACTCTTTAGTAAATGGCTTCACAAGGTTCCACCTTCAAAAGGTAGAAAAGAAATCTAAGTGATTTAATTTAGAATTGCATTCTATATGTTCTTTGTTACTTCAAGCTTATTAAAACTTCAATCGTGCCTTGAATACTATTACAATATTAAACCAATTACTAAGTAAAACATTTCCATTGTCATAATTTCCAATACATCCCAATAAACTAATTTAAAACTGCATTCTTTAATTTCATATCGATGCATCCTCTTTATTTCTTTATTAGCTTCAATTCTTCTAGGTTAAGAAATTTGCTAACAGTATATTTTGTAGAAAATTACAGATAGATATATCATAGATTAGCTTTTTACTTATTGCTTAATATATCACAAGTAAATAATAAATTTTGATAAGTCACAAATTAGGTAATGTGAAATGATAATAACTTCTGTAACTACTTGTACCGAAGAGCTGACAAAACATGTATGCTGATGGTGGCAAATGGAAAGGAATATACCGGACACCAACCAACCTGGCAGTACCTGATATCTGTATAATACTTCAGTCACAGGTCTTGTTATAATGTCAAGGCAAATATTCAATATCCAAGCTTTTCATGTTCCCCACAACAACATTAAGGTAGTTTGGCTTTTTACTGATAAGGAAGCTGAAGCTCACATGTTTAAGTGCATTGCCCAAGGTCATAAAGCTCTCACAAACTTGAACCCAGGGCTTCTGCTCCAACTATACCAGTGGCCTCTCAGCTTAGATTGACATCTCTGACACAATTTTACTGTTCTTTTCTCTAAAAGCCAATGTTCTTAGTAACTCTATCTTACGCAAACCTAATTCCATTACAATAAAGTTCATTAATGCACCATTAATTTATTTCAGAGTTTGAGGGACATTGTATAGATTTAATCTAACTTCTAAAAATTTCTTAGCAAAGGTACTTTAAGGAACTAAAGTTGTAGGCTAGTAAATAGATTTGTCTGGTATTTTATTATTAGATTCAAAATTTTTTCTTTTATCTTTACCAGATGTGTACATAAGAACACATAAATAAAGTTTAACATAAAAATAAAGACTTGTTTCCTTCCTAAAGAATTAATGTAGGGCTCCACATTAATAGATAAAACAACAATTATGCATTACAACCAAAATAAGTTACAAACAATAAAATTAACCAGATAATATTTATTGAATGTCCATTATACAGGAGACCTGTGGGGGTTATAAATGGGCATGAGACACAATCCTTATGTAAATCTGTGAACAACTCCATATTCATGAGGATTTTTGCTAAAGTTTTTCTCTATGAGGCTTTGCACATTTAAATCACATTTTCCTTAGCAGAATATTTAAACATTTTTTCACTTTTTTGTGATTCTACTCTATCTCCTTTTACCAATGAAGAAATATTATTACTTCCAGGGGAATTTAACTTCCTTGGCTTTTTAGAACTGGTAAACTTTAAAGGATGAACTAAAAATAAGTAAAGGGTTATTAGTCTGATATGCTTAAAGGGATTATAATGAAACCACAAAAGCATACCAGAAAACTGGCACAATTTTCTTTTTAAATTAAAAGAGTAAACTAATACATCTGTAAGTGATGAATATTATATCTGCACACTGAAAGCATAAACACAGATTTTTTCTAAATAGTTAAAATACAAATTCTGCTTCCATGGCAATGAAAAAGAAGATTACTTATAGGAACTGACACAGACTGGAAGACGGGAAAAAAAGGAGGTGGTTTGTATAGTTTTTTGTTTCCTTTTTCTGGAAACTCAGGTGAGGAAAACAGGCCAAGATAAGAGTGTAAACACAGAAGCCTTACTTAATTATAAATCGGATACTATCAAACTACTTTTTTTCCTATATTTTCATAGAAAAACATGTCTTGCACAAAGTAAATATGGAAAGGTTTTTTTTTATTTTTAGGAATAGGAACCATAACTTTGATTTCATTGGTATAAAGAACTACTAATTGAAGAATTATTCTACCAATGCAAGTCAATACCTTCTTTACAACTTCAAGACTAAGAGCAGGAGTCTGGTGTTGTGGACCCCTTTTAGTAGACTGATGAAGTCTGTGGACTTCTTCTCAAAATAATTTTTCTTGTCTACATTCATAATTTAATTAAATGCTAAATTCTTTAAATACTAGTGAAACTTATGATGCAAAATTATTCCCATCCATGGCCCTTGAAATCTATCCATGGCCTCCTTTCTATGAACCCTAGGTAAGAACCCCCATCTTGGATAGCTGCTTAGAGAATTAAGAGGTTAGGTGACTTACCCAGGGCCTCAACAGTCAGTATGTTTCAGAGATGGAACTCAAGCCTGGGTCTTCCTGATACCCAAGTAAAGTTTTCTATTAACTATGCAATATTACATTCCTTTATTTCAAAAGAATATTATTATTATTATTATGGAAAGGTTCTGGATGTTGCAAAGGCATATTATATTTACATACAGTTATAAAATTATTATGAAACTACTAAATTAAAAACAAAAAATTAGATGAAATAAGATACAATGCATACATACAAAATCAGAAATGACAAAGTGAACAAGAATCAGATTTCACAGTCCTAACTCCACACCAAAATATTTCAAACATTACATTTGTTTTCAAAGACTTCCCCCACAAGCTAGGTTCTTAAGGTTTTTTAGGAAAGTACAAACTATTCAGCTTATAATATTTACGCAGCTTTTTGGTTTATGACTAATTATGAAACAGCATCATTGATGACATCAGCAGGATGGTGACAGCAGGAGAGAAGTAAACTATATTAATCAGGCAGCAGAGGGAGCTAATGCATTGCCTTTTAGTTTGCTATTATCCCTCTTCTCTGCCTCCTTTAAGGGTTCAGGGGATTTTTAAGTTGATTTACAGGAGGGCACTTAATTTTAAAATAAATTTTATAGATTTTGAAGTTTTCTTATTTTCCCAAGATATTTATCATATGCTTCAATTTGAAGTATAAAAAGTTGAAGAACTGGTTCACTTTTTCAATTACAAGATTAGAAAACATGTTCAACATCATTTGACTTTCCCAATGCTCCCCAAAATGATCCCTTAGATAATTTCTTATAAAACCAATTAAACTTTTTTATATTATAGCTATTATTCATAATATTGCAAAATGTTTTAGAAAGGTGCCTAGAGATTCAGCAACTTCATTTCACAGTTGGGAAAACTGAAGAAGCCCAAAGTAGTGATGACTTGTTCAAGGTCACATAGCAAATTAATAGAGCTGAAGCTGGAATCTAGGTCAGGAGTCAGATTTCTTGACTCCAAATTTAATACTTATTCCATCATATCAAGCTAAAATATAAAGACTTTTTGGAAGATAATGCTATTGTCTAAAACTGAACAACTATGTGACAAATTTCTTTAATTTTGCCCTTTCCCAAAAGGATACTATACCTGACTATTTCATAATCACTACTACATGGTGGCTTATACACAGTTTAAAGAGACATTTGCTCATGAAACAAAATCCCTCTTTTTGAATTTTTAGAATATTACATTAAAAAGTTTTAAAGGCACATCACATTTTTACAACTATGGGTATTAATGAATATTATCAGTAGAAAAGGGAGCTTTTCTGAAACTTTAAGAGGTCAAGATAAAAGCCAGCTTATACCTTACCTAGCCTTAGAGCCAAAACTCTCTACAGAAGTTCTTAGTGAATACTTTGAAAAGTAGAATATGCCATACTTACCTCTGACAACTGATTTCCAACACAGTTTGTGAGACAACCAGAATTTGCTATACATTTTCCACATTTCCAACAATGAAGAATAGCTACTTCTTCTTGGCTAACCATTTTAATTCCCATTTGAAGTCTTTTCATCTGTAGGAAACATTAATGTATTTTTTTTTATTAGGAAGTAACTGGGAAGACTAAACTTGTTTTGCTTGTCTAAGCATTGCATCAGTTATATTTAATGACTGACCATTCTAATTGATGACAGTGGTAATTCATGTTATTTTTTTCTTATCAACTAATTTTCTTTTTATTGAATGTTTAAATGTTAACAATAATGAACTGTTAATTTTGTTCCATATCACCTCCCCTGCTAATGGCAGCAAAAAGCAATTACTGAGGGACCACTAAAAAATTATCGTAGTGGTTTAAAAATACCTATTATAAAGGCTATAAATGTTTTTTGTTAAGTTGGGGTGTTGTATAGGACATGCAGTAATTTAAAATCATGATTTAATAGCTTATCTTTTGTGTTTATCCTTGTGTTCCTAACTGCTGTAAGAATCAGAAAAGCTTGCTTTATGACCACATGTAATGATTTTCATGTTACAAATTGTTTCCAGTAGAATAACTACATACCTTAGTATGTGGAATAAAAATTAGAAGACTCAGGAAATATTTTCATTATATTCATTAGTCTATATCTCACATGAGCTAATAATTACAAAGTACTTAGCATAGTGCTTGGCACATGGTAAGCAATATATAAAGTTAGCTATTACTATCATTACATTCAAATATGGGCTTTCATATCAAAATTTTACTTCAAGCTAACTTAGAACATTATTTTATAGAAACAATACAAGGAATTTATTTTTTTAAAGTCTTAATGTACTTAATAATCCACCTGAGCACTATTTTTCTTTAAGGAAAGCATTTTTAACCTTCACTTAAATGTCACCTGTTAAACAGTTAAATCACTTTCTCAGTTAAATTATTTATCTCAAATCCTAAGTTTAAAAATAACCACCTGTATGACACTTAAGGGAATGTAAGTATCCTCAAAAAGATGACAGAAAAGTAAATTCTGTAACAGTAATCTTATTTTTCAATTCACATCCTAGGAAAACCAAAACAAAACAAAAACTTTTTTGTTTTCATACCAGAAGAGGGCAAAAAAAGAACTTAAGTAGAAAACTTTTGGTAAATAAAGCACATGCTAATATACACAAAGGGTGTTCTTCCCGCTAGGTGTTGTGAAAATCTTCACGTTATCATTTATTTCCCTCCTCCATCCATTTTTTAAAACAACTTCTTCTCAGGCTATTAAGCCCTCTCTGTCTATTATCAACCTCATTAGCCATTCTCAATTATTAAAAAAAACAAAAACAAAACCCACTTCCCAATGACTAGTATTCTCTTGACTCTACACTCAGAAATCCCAAATTATTTTCTCCCTTTCTTTTCTTTTTGTGTTAGAATTTGCCATTTTTACTTATTCAAAAGCTCCTCGATATTATTAACTTTCTTATTGTTCTTAAATATCTTTATAATATCTGCGCAATTCATTGATAATAGTACTGTCATCTCATACATATGATTGCTTGTCACACGAATCATGACAACAATATTTTCCCTCATAATTTCTTCAGCTCACTTTTTTTCTTCTTTGAAGGAGTAATCATGCTACCAGGAAAAATTCTCTCAATAGAAAGTGCTTTGTTATAACAAAGTGTTAAAATTAAGGTCAACTAGCCACTCGCCACTAGGGTGAGAAAAGATCATTTTGTTATACTCCTAATTCCTAGTCATCTCTATCTTGGGAAAAAGTTGCAGAGATTAGGTATCCAATATATTTTCAGATCTTCACAGAGATTCTAATAACGAGCTGGGGCTTCAAGAGATGACTATTCCTAATCCTTTATCAAAGATACTTGATTTCTAAACCTAGGGGGAGGAAAGGAATAAACATTTATTAAGCACCTACTGTGTACAAGGCACTATGTAAATGCTTTACAAATATTATATAAATATTAACTTGTTCCTTCTATTCCTGCTAACTATGGTAATATATCTCTTCTGTTCTTTATGGCTAAACTTCTTTTTTTATTAATTTATTTTGAATTATCAACAATCACTTCCATAAGCTTTTGATTTTTAAATTTTTCTCCCCCTCCCTTCCAATTTCCCTCCCCAAGATGGCACACAATCTGATATAGGCTATACATATACATTCCTATTAAATATATTTTCACATTAGTGATGTTGTAAGTAAGAATTAGAACCAATAGGAGGAACCACCAGAAAGAGGAAACAAAAAACAACAGAAGAAAAAAAATAGCAAATAGTATGCTTTGATCTGCATTCAAACACCATAGTTCTTTCTTCTTTGTGGATAGCATTTTCCATCATGGAGCCTTTGGAAATGCCCTAGATCCTTGTATTGCTGAGGAGGGTTAAGTTTATCAATATTAGTCATCGCACAACATGGCTGTTATTGTGTACAATGTTCTCCTGGTTCTGCTCACTTCACTCAGCATCAGAACATACAAGTCTTTCCTTATAGCACAATAGTATTCCATTACATTCATATACCATAACTTGTCCAGCCATTCCCCAATTGATGCGCATCCTCTTTATTTCCAATTGTTTGTATGGCTAAACTTCTTGAAAAGGCTATCCACCATGGTGGCCTCCACTTTCTCTCCTCCCTTTCTTTTCAACCATTTACAATCTGGGTTCTGACCTTTTTGTCCCACCAAAACTGCTTCCTCTTAAGTTATGAATGATCTCTCATTTGCCAAATCCAATGGCCTTTTCTCAATTCTCCTTTTCTTGACTTCTCTGCAGCCTTTGACACTGTTTATCAGTCTCTCCTCCTTGATACTCTCTTCTCTCCAGGTTTCAGGCCACCAAGCTCTCTTGGTTTTCCTCCTACCTATCTGACCATGACTTCTCTCTCCTTTGCTGTATCTTCATCTTCATCACACCCTCTAAACATTGGTGTCCCTCAAGGTTCTGTCCTCCTCTTGTTCCACTATACTACTCCACTTGGTGATCTTGTCAGCTATCATGGATTTAACTACTATCTCTATGCTGATGATTCTCAAATCTACCTAAACTGCTACAGTCACTCTGCTCCAGCTGACTTTTAAACATCTCTAACTGGATGTTCAGTAGACATTTTAAACTCAATATATCCAAAATGGAAATTATTATCTTTCTTCTTAAATTTTGCCCCACTCTTATCACCTCTGTTACTGTAGAGGGCAACACCATCCTCCCAGTCCTCAGATTTACAAACCTAAGGGTCACTATGGATTTCTCAATTGGTTTCACCCCTATAACCAAGCTGTTGCCAAGGCCTGTTGATTTCACCTTGGCAACATGCTCACTTCTCTCCTCTGACAGTACCACTACTCTAGTGCACACCCTCATCACCTCACACCTGGATTATTACAATAACCTGCTGGTGGGTATGCCTGCCTCAAGGCTCTCCCTATGCCACCCCATCCTTAATTTAGCTGATAAAGTGATTTTCCTAAAGTACAGGCCTAATCATGTTGTTCATCCCCCACCTCTCAACTCAATAAATTCCAGTGGCTTCCTATTGCCTCTAGCATCAAATGAAAAATGTTCTTTTTGGCATTCAAAGCCCTTCATAACTTATCCCCATCCTACATCTCCAGTTTTTTTAATTTACTCCTTGACACATATTTTTCAATACAATAACATTGGCTTCCTGGATATTGCATAAATAAGACACCTCATCTCTTGGCTTCAGGCATTCTCCCTCACTGTCCCCCATTTCTGGAATACTTTCTGTCCTCTGCTTTGACCACTGACCTCTCTGACTTCCTTTAAATCCTAACTAAAATCCTATCTTTTCTTATAAGCCTTTTCCAATCCCTCTTAATTCTAGTGCCTGCCTTTTGTTAATTATTTTCTATTTGTCCTGTATGTATCTTGCCTTGTAAATATTTATTTGCATCCTGTCTCCCCCATTAGATTGTAAGCTCCTTGAGGGCAGGGGCTATATTTTGTCTCTTTTTCTATCACCACTGTTTGGCATTCTACCTGGCAAATAGTAAGCACCTGGCACATAGCAGGTGCTTAATAAATGTTAATTATCTCATTTGAACCTCACAGTCTTGAGAAGTAGGTGCTATTATTAACCCTATTTCACAGTTCAGGAAACTTAGGGAAATAGAGGTTAAGTGACTGTGACCAAGGTCACACAGCTAGTAAGTGTTATATGTCTAAGACTGGATCTGAACTCAGCCCTTCCTGACTCCAGGTCTAGCCCTCCATTCACTAGGCCAGCTGGTCATTTCTACACAAAAATGTATATACCACTTTTCAATCCCTTTCTTGTTTTTCCCTCAGAAATACATCCCAGTCATAAAGACCATAAATCTCAATGTACCATTTCAATCTTAGGAATCATTTTGAAAATGTGAAAATTTGATTGGAGAAAATTTTAGAAGCTCTTCATGCCAATAAAGTTTTGTTGCTGTTCCTCAGTGATAATTCTAAAGACTAATGATGATGGCATGGCAATTGCCTAGAGCCCAATTGCTCAATTTGTTTCTCTTTATCCATATTTTAGAAAAAAATATCATAAAGGGAAAAATAAATCTACCCTACTTCCATATTTTGCTAACCTACTTAAGAGGAAAGCTTTACAAATATTATCCAAAATGTATTTGCCAGTACTCACATTACATGAAAGCAATCAGGTGCTGTCTGTGGTCCTGAATCCAGGCAACAGAATTACTGTCCAAGATCTAAAACTCCTGCAAAAATGATTGTCTGCTTAGGTCAGATTTTGGCAGACCTACAGCTCCTATGAAGCTGAAAATAACTACATGTATTTACAAAGGGTATTAAAAAATATGCTGGTCATCTTCAACTGGCTGGTCATATTAGCATTGTTGGGAAAATTTTCTCAGAATTGTGATTTGGACATTGATACTAAACAAACTCTATAAAATTGTATTTTCAGAGAATCCTAGATCTTTCTCCATCCAGTGGTGAATCCCTCTCTTTCTTGAGCTGTGAACATACATGTTCTCTTTTGTAGGGTTCTGAGAATTTTATATGTACATGAGGAATGAATTTTTCTTGTGGCTCCTCTTCTTTATATCTGAGCGAGGACAAGGAAATCCAGAAATGGCAGCTCCTGAGCAATAGGATAGAATTAAGTATACTACAAAAACCAAAAAAAAAATTGCTCTAATTAGTATCATAGGATTCAGGTTCAAATCCCGCCTCTAATGTTTATACTTCTGTGATCTCTGTAAAATAACAACTTTCCTGGGCCTCGGTTTCCTGATATGTAAAATGAGGGGGGTTGGACTAGATATCTTCAGAGGTCCCTTCCAGGTCTAGATCTAATATGCTTTGATCTATATATCCTGTGACCTTCATGCTTCTGAACATTCTCCTCCATATTCATGGCCAGAGGGTAGGTCATTTTGAAAATCATTTTGAAAATGATGCAAATCATGTCTTAATCAACACTGATTAATTCAATGACCAAAAATGATTATCCCCAAAAAGGGATAATGATGAAGCAGACTATCTATATCCTGAGAGAGATTACAGTCTCAAGATGGAGAAGACATACTTTTAGACAAGGTCAATGAAGGAATTTGTTTTGCTTGTATGTATTTATTTGTTACAAGGGTTCTCTCTCTCTCTTTTTTTTTTGCAATGGGAGAAGGGAGAGGGACAAAAAAAAGTAAATGCATGTTAATTGACAAATAACATAAAATGTAAAAAAAAAATCTTAATCCAGGATCTTTACATAAATAAGAACACTGTATAAATGGGAAGAATATGAAAAAATTAAATGAGAAATTCCAGTAAGAACCTTCTCTGAGATAAGCTTTAAAATAAGCTACACTGCTTGGTAAAAAAAAACAAAAACAAAAACAAAAACAAACAAACAAAAAAAAAACAACAAAACACCCCCACAAAAAAACCACAAAAAACCTTTTAAGAAATGGGTAGGGAAAGTTATTATCAACTGATCTGATAAGTAAAAGCTGAGACTGTGAATAAATTTCAATTCTGTTTTGAAGGAGTATCAGAAATAGTTGCAAGGAAGGATGTAGAATGTATACAACTAAGTTAATAATTGAACAGAGGTTTCATAATTTTATGTATTTCTCTGAAAAGTATAAATATTTATGGGATATTACATATAACATATATGATACAATAATACAAGAAGTAATAAATTATATTTTAAAGAGGTAAATTGACTAAGAGGGCTTGATTTTTCTTCTGTTAAATTTATCTCAGCAAGAGCTCTCTAAAGCATCTTAGTCATTCTTCATATCTGATATAGCTATCAGATTCAAAAACTCACTGCCCACTCAGAGAAAACAGGACAAATGTGCCATCAAGGTATTAAATAGAATAAACACTCTTGAATCAAGAGAAGAACAAAAATGCCATCTAGTGGTAAAAACAATAATAAGAAAGACATGATTTTATGGTACAACTTGTTCTAGGACCTTGGTCGAATGTATGAAAATGATATTGATATGATAACAAATTTCACACAAATACATGAAATATATTAAGGATGAGTTCCCAGACTCGGTGTCATGCTCACTTCCTCTCTGTACTCTCACAGCCACCACCCTTCCCTACTCATATCTATCACCCCAATTCAGGCTGTTATCACCTCTCTCTGAGACCCTTAGTCTACTATTTGATCTCTCTGCCTCTCTCCACTCCAATTCATCCTCCACACTGATGATGCAGTCCCCCTCCTCAATAAATTCCAGTGGATCCCTACTATCACTAGAACCAAATATGACATGCTATGTTTCATTTATTTATTTATTTTTATGTATTTTTTTTTTTTACATTTTCAGGCCACTGGGGTTAACTGACTTCCCTAGTAAGGGTCAAGTGTTTGGTTTCAGGCTGGATTTGAACTCAGGTCTTCCTGACCCCAAGGTCAGTGCTCTATCCATTGCGCTACCTAGCCGCCCCTCATATTTAAACCATTTAACAATTTGATCCCTTCCTACATTTTAACACATCATTTTCAGTCACAGACAATGGCCCAGCTATAACACCACATGCTGTTCTTCTTACATAATGTCCCAGCCCCCATCCCCACGCCTCATGTCTGGGCAACCAGGAGGTACAGTAGATGAAGTACCACACCTGAAGTCAGGAACACTCATCTCCCTGAGTTCAAATACTTCTTCAGACACTTACTAGCCTACCTGTGTGAATGTGGGCAAGTCACTTAACCTGTTTGCCTCATTTTCCTAATCTGTAAAATGAGCTGGAGAAGGAAGTAGCAAACTACTCCAGTATCTTTGCCCAGAAAACACCAAATGGGAGCATGAAGACACAACTGAAATGCCCCAAAAGCAACAACAAAACTGGAATATTCTTTCTTTTTACCTTGACCTCTAAGCATTCCTGGTCTCCTTCAAACTCACCTTTTACAGGAGGCAATCCCTGGTCTTCCTAATGCTTTCTCATCCAAAGTTACCTAATGTCTGCTTTGGATGTGTCTTTATTTCCCTATATATGTACATCAGGATATAAGAATTTTGACTGCAAGAACTTTTTCATCCTTGTTGAATCGTGAGCATTTAGCACAGTACTTTACATAAGTGAGCTTACTAAATGTTTATTGATTGATAAATGTACTAAATATTTACTGACTGATGGACTGATAAAATTAAGGATACATATACTCCTAGGCAAAAGTGTGTGGGGGGAATCCACACTCAGAAAATTCAATCCCTTGAAAAATGGTCTTTAAATCAAGGAGGTCTCTGAAGGAGTCTGCACTACATTTGAAAAATAAGCAAGAGCTGTCACATACATCCAAAAAAGCCAAAACTGTTGACCCATCATGTCTGCCCTGGGGCTTAAATAATAATAACAACAATGACTATGTTTGCACATTAAAGTTAATTTCACAAAAGTCCTGCTCTGGGATCTCATTTTGCTGCCTGAGGTGACAATATGTTCTTGAAGGATATGCCAGTGAATTATAAGCTTTTTCAAATGAGGTCCTGACAGACAATAGGTTGCTGAGGAGCAGCTTAATGAAGCATGGAATGGCTGATTACAAGCAGGTGAGGTCATTAAATGATGAATTCTTTGGCCAGGGTGATACATGGTACAAAGAAAAATACAAAATGGTCTTCATTCCTAGGTGGTCCCTTTCTGCTTCCACAAAGATGATGGCAATTTTGCCCAAAATGAAAACAGAGTAGTTTTCAGATCATCTACAAATACTAAATAATGGCATTCTAAATGTGAGATTTCTTTTTTACAGTGAAAAAATTATCAACAGCTAGAAGATGATAACATTCATATTTACATCATTTCTACAAATGAAACTAAATGGTTAGATAAGAATGGTTAGATAAGAACCTGTAAGTTTTACTTCCACAGAAGGAAATAAAATGAATGGCAACCAAAGGCAGCACGAAGCATTTCTTGTGGGGTATTTAGTGCCCCATCTTGTCTCACAGTGTATGTGATGGGAACAAATAAGTAGACTGCCATAAAAATAATTACCACTCATGTACCAAATATCTGTGGAAGAGAATGAAAAAGTGGATGTAGCTATCAGTGAAACTGTACATGATGAAAGCTATGTGATACCCACTTGCTATGAGTATTTCAACTCTGCAATGTTTTAACTGTCCATGGGGAAAAACAAAACAAAACAAAACAAAACTGGTGCTTACAACTAGATGGTGCACCTGAACAACATTTTGTTTGGTTGAGGGTACTTATATTGCCAATTGCAACACAACAATTCAAAAATGGTTTTATTAGCATTTCCTTTTCACTAAATGAGACTCCATTTTTATGTGTAACTACCCTTTTGTTCCTGGGGTATTTGAATAATTTCATAATGTGCTGGACTCCCCCACAATTTTGCTCCAATCTATCATTCTAGACTTATTTTCACAATGCTTATACTCTTACAGAGACATTACAAGGACATCACTTTGTAACCTGCAAAATATTTTATAACTGGCAAAGCACTATATAAATTTGAGATAATAAAACAGCAAAAACAAGTATATATTTAGATAAGCAATAACATAAAGGTATGAAATATAGTGTCCCAAACGTCTTTGCAATTTTAACCCTTAATAACTTCAAAAGTATAAATGCTGTAAACCTATAAAAACATTTGAAAGCTCAATTATTTAAATTTTTTAAATGTTGATATGCTTATTAAAATTCAATACAATCACTCTCTTGTTCTATATATCACTCTAGTTAATTTTCAGACGTTGTGAAACAAACTTGTGCTCAGTGACTGAGAGGACTGTATTTGTAATCGAAACCTCAACATCTTCCAAAGAACCAAATTTTGATGCATTCACAACATTTAAACTTGACTCACAAGGAACAGTCTAAGAATAATAATCAGGCTACCGATGTGAACAAGTTAAGTGGCTCTACCAAATCTCCAATTAGAGACAGCACCAGAAACTGTCACACATAATGTAACATGAGAGGGTGCCATGGCTTCTTAAAATTTAAGTTAAAACTTATTATTCAAAATTCACAGACTGATGTAATTGTAAAATAAATTTAAATAATTAAATTTTAAAGAGATTTTTCATAAGTTTGTAACATTTATATTTCTGGGATTATTAAAGCTTAATCACTAAGATTTTGGGGACACCTTGTACACCTTGCTATAAAATTTTTGAAGAATATGATTACAATCCAACCTTTAATAAATACATTATAGGGGCAACTAGGTGGTGCAGTGGATAGAGCA